TTGCAGCTGTTTGATGAGCGGTGTAGATCTACTTCGTTTTTACACTTATCAGTTTTCTATACGAACATAAGATCGTTTCCTAAAAACTGCATCTCTCTTGACCTGTTCGCCGGAGGTAGGTACGATTTATATCTCTTTACCGAAACTTGGCTCCTCCAAGAAACAATCACTCATTTTCCTCTATGCTTAATGACTGGATTGGTGACTATTCTATCTTGCGCTGTGATAGAAGCCGTAGAGCCGGGGGTGGAGTGGCAATTTTGCTAAGGAAAACTATAAATCATTCAGTTATCTTTTCTGAGTCAATTCCACTAGGTTACGAAATTCTTGTTACGGACATCGCCACCCCTGAATTTCGCTTTCGGATTATATTAGCATACAGACCACCGTCGACCTCATCCACTATTACTGAACAGTTAGCCAAGGCTATCAGCGATCTAGCGGCTACAGCAATCCCGGTAATTATAATAGGTGATTTTAATCTTCCAGAAATTAAATGGGATCGATGGAATGATATTGAAGAATCATATCACCCGCTTGCCGAAACTTTTGTTTTGCATGGTTTCAAGCAATTTATCGTCGAACCCACCAGGGGAACTAATATTTTGGACCTATTGTTCTCAAATGATCATGAACTTGTTAAGAATGTTTCTGTGAGATCTCCTATTGGCGACAGCCGACCATTTTAGCATTTGCTTCGAGATTTCGGTATGCGTCCCACCTTCTATTCCTATTTTGAAGAGGCTATTCTCTAAGTGTGATTACCTGCGTGTTGCAAATTACCTTTTTGATATCTTATGGATCGAATCTTTCGAATCGGTTCCTACAGTGGACGAAAAATACAATATGTTCCTGTCAATCCTCAATCATTCTATTGACATTTTTGTTCCTTGGGTCTATGTCTATCCGACCAAGCCGAATCCTCCTTATTATCTACAGATATGCTAGATCATAAAGAATGTCTCTTACGATATAAGAGCCAAAGCCGTAGTGGTGACTGGAATGAGTTCAACACATTTTCTAAGAAGTTTACAGAGCGTCTGCTTAAATATAGCAAAAAAGTCGAAAAGAATATCATTCAGTCTAAGAACGCACAACGCTTTTACAAATTCATGAGGTCTAGACTCCGTAAAGAGTCACAATTTTCGGATTTGAAGTACGAGGGTGAATTACTCTTGAATGACGATGATAAGGCAAATGCTTTCGCGAAAGAGTTCAGTAAGACCTTTCAACAGGATGACAGTCAACTTCCATCCTACTCTCACACTGTTCCAAGCACAATGCAAACCTTCCCCCATTTCGACCCTAGAGATATCTACAACCTTTTGATGAGGTGGCCGTGCTCATTCTCTATCACCCCTGACCATATTCCTTTCGTATTTATCAGGAAAATCGCTCACGCTATCTCCTTCCCTCTGGCTTACATATTTAATCAGTCTATCATGTTTTCTCAAGTCCCCCGACTCTGGAAACACTCCTATATCACTCCTATCTTGAAAAAATCACCCTCCTCGGACATTTCCAATTACAGGCCAGTGAGTATCACATCCCTTTTTTGTAGACTTTTTGAGAAGCTTCTTAAATCTCATATTATTCGTCATTTGGATGAGAACAAAATAATTCCACCTTCTCAACATGGGTTCGTAGTAGGGAGATCCGTCACGAGCAATTTGCTAGAATCCCTTAATGATTGGACTAAGGCTTTGGATGATAAGAAATGCGTCGATGTAATTTATTTCGATTTCACTAAAGCGTTCGACAAAGTTAGCCATAGGAAGCTGCTATACAAAATGGATAAACTAGGATTTCATGAGAAAGTATACAAATGGATTAGGGAATTTCTTACGGGAAGGACTTTCCAGGTTCGCATTAACAATTCTTATTCTAATGTCTTCCAGCTCCTTAGCGGCATCCCTCAAGGAGGGGTCCTGTCTCCCATACTTTTTAATATTTACTCGGCTGATCTTGGTTGTATAGGCATACAGAATGATGTTGTGTCCAAGCAGTACGCAGACGATCTTAAATTTTACAAAATCATAAACTCCTTACAGGATGCACACGCCCTCCAAGCTACTATAGATATGCTTGTTAAATGGTCCACTGACTGGCAAATCCCGCTTTCCGCGGCGAAATCTTTCCACATGCACTTAGGCCCTTCTTCGGTACATTCTACCTCTTACTTCATCGATGATGTGGAGATAACAAAGGTTAAGGAAGTAAAGGACTTAGGTTTTCTTTATAATGACAAACTTGACTTTTCTTCACATCACAGACATATTTATAAAAAGGCATTCCATCGTACCTATAATATATTCAAGGCCCTAGCGACCAATGACAGCAAGGTACTTCTCCACGCATACAAAACTTATGTTCGACCGTTAGTGGAAAATGGGACTGTCATATTCTACCCTAATAAGAAAAAGGATATCGCTCCGCTCTCGTTGAAAGGGTTCAAAACAATTTCACAAGGAAAATACTTATCCGTCGCGGAGGTTTCCTGTATGCTAAAATTCCGAAAGCTTCGGTAAGGAACGAATACTTCAAACTTCCAACCCTCCAGTCTCGACGCAACTTCTTTGATCTGTGTGCTCCATAGGCTTCTTAGAAAGGAGTCTGCTGTCAACTGCTCTTCTTTCTACAACCTGCTTCCGTCTGTTACCAGGGGGGCTCACCTAAAGCTATCGTTTCCTAGACCTAAAACCACTCTCAGACGAAACTTTTTCACTGTCAGAGCGGGACTTGCTTATTTGCGCCTCAACAAAACCGCATCCAAGGCTCTTTGGCATCATTAAGAAGGTCACTAGCTAAACAATTGCTTGCCTCATAGTTGTCGTTTGTTGTTTTTATTCGTTTCCTTGGAGTTTTGTATTCTGTTTCCGGGTTTTATTTTATTTCATGTTTTATTTTTAACGTTGCCTTACACAACGTACTGAATAAAGATAAAGACTGCTTTCTACCACTGCGCGTTAAGTGAGCGAGTTAAGGATCCTCACCCTCTTCGGAAAATCCTCGTAAGAGAATCGCTGTGTTGATCTACATCGCACAGGATGCTGTGCTGCAGCCTACAGACAATTGTGTTCAAATTCGCGCGCGCGGGAAGAACTGGCAGCCATGCCATTTAAATACCACTGCGTCCGCGCTTTATTCGTTGGGCCGCTGTTTTTTTAGACCCCCCTCAAGTAAAGCAACCTATCTTTGGAGGGTTATAACCTTCTTCAGTGCAGACTAGGAGATATGAATGCGCAGTGTGTAAAAAAATTTTTGAGCTTTTCGAAAAGTACTGAAATGTTTATAAGGTTGCCAAGTTCAGAGAGAAATTCAGCGTTGGGGATGGGTTGGGGATTTTCGAAATTGATGCAAAAAGACCAAGACTGTCTTGGTTTGAACGACTATAAGCGTCGAATAGAGGGTTCCTTCTTCCCACTAACCACTTCACTTGTTTCTGAAGTTTTCGGGATTCATGAGAAAAACGCGTTGGGGATTTTCTGAGGAACACTCCGAGCAGCGCGAAAACCCGTTTTCTGTGTACCGTTTCAAGTGGCGTATTCGGATATCCAGAAATGCATCTAAATGCATCCCTTCGTGGAATAGGAACAAACAGTAGTTAGTTTAGCGCCCATTAGCTTCATTTCTGGATGCGCCATGCTTATGCTCCCACGCAGAGGTAGTGGGATGGTGCAAGTTCTACGCAATGCCTGTCTACGCGAGCAGATGTGTTTGTAGGATTTGGGGAGGTCCATGGCCAACCTACGCACTTGCTTACAGTCTTGTCCGTTGCGGATGATGGGGCGTGTCCTCCACCACTTGCTAAGTCCGATAAAGGAGACCAACTGCTGGAAAACGTCTGATACGAACGATATGGTAGTCTTGTCGTTTGTCGAAAGAAAAAAAAACAGGTTGGCGCCGTACCAAGCGGACACGCCCCATCATCCGCAGCGAGCCAGGGTATGAGATGTACTGTTTAGTCATCTATACAGGGGGGGCCAAAAAAAAGTCATTTTGCCTCCATGACTTTCAAGGCGCTATAAGTTACACTTTATTAAATTTTTATCTTCCGCCCTGGTACTCATATCCACTTCCTCTGTCTGGGCTGCGAAAACTTCGCTCATATGTGACTCGGCCGGAATGACTTTTTTTTGGCCCCCCTGTATACTTAAGAAATGATGCCACTTATTAATGTTTCAGTTAATTTGGATTAGTTCAGTTAATGAAAGTTTTGTACTATTTTTTTACACATCCGGGTTCTCTACAAAGCAAGTTTCGCTATACAGGACCAGCATACTGACACCTTTGCGCTGCTCGTTACTGAGTGAAGGACTAATTACGACCCCCCCCCTCCCAGCGGCCAAATACGACCCCCCCCCCTGTTGGGGAATCCCCAATGACGATGTGCCCTGGCTTAGCAGCAACCGTCTACCGCTGCGCTCAATGCTTCCTGCTACCAAAATGGAACCGGTATCGTTTGGTTGCGAGTCATATCGTTCATATCATTTCTGGTACGTCAACAGGAATTTGCAAAAGTGCTCCCCTTCATTCCTGAGAAAGATAGCGCGGCACTGTTTCGCTATCACGGCTCCAAAAACTCAGTGCAAAAAATTTTTATTAGGTGAGATTCCCCTATGGAGTTCAGGGCGCTGATCACGATCATGATAACAATTTTCGGCCTTGATGTGATACGAGGTCAATAGTGCCGATTTCAAGCACCCTTTTTTTCCCAATTTCGCAGACCTAGGGTCAATTAAGGGTCTCGATCACGAAACACGATATCTATTTCTGGTCTTAGCGCCAGACGCCGATAGACGCCCACTTGGCGCCACTACCATTACCTCACCAAAATCGATGAAAGCTTGCATACTGGTATTATTTTGAGTCCTGATTACGGCATTCATTCTTGGCGGTATCGGTAACAAAGGGCACTCTGATCGCGATTTGCCTTCTGCCAAGAGCCTCCCTGAAAGGGAATCACTCTTTCTTCCAGGCTCAGCCTCTACTACGCTGTTGTCAAAGAATGATTGCTAAACTCGTGATCGGGTAACCAACAAGCCCTATGCAGAATTCCAGGGAACCTCATTATGCAAGTTTCTATCGATTTCGGTGACAGGAGGAGGCGGCCCAGAATGGAGCAGGGAAAAACTCACCCGTGCGCCTACGCGGCGCGATATTTTGTCGTCACCGCGGCGGCAGGGCGGAGCGAAGGACGATGGCCTGCGCCTCCATACAACAGCCGCTTCTATGTGAAGGGGAAAAGAGGTAAAAAAGTAAGGTAAAAAAGGTATAAAAGGTAAAAATTATAACGTTATGAGGTCACAACCAACTGTTGACTATTTTAAAACTTCGTCGTCCTCACCTTGCAACGTTTGAGCGAGAGCTGTTTGTATTGTTTTCACGATAAGGAGCTATATCGCCAGTTTAGCTATTGCTTGAAGTAATTACCTTGGCCTTTCTTTATTCTCTGCTCACCCTACCATTAATTCACCTATGAGCACCCACTATTTGTTCAATCCTCTTTCCTCTCTCTTTTTTTTCCTTTTTCCCTTCTACATAAAAGCGGCTGCTGATGGAGCACAGTGGCGGAGGCGCAGGCCATCGCCCTTCGCTCCGTCCTGCCGCCGCAGTGACGTCAAAAACCGCGCCGAACATGCGCACGGGTGAGTTCTTTCATGAACCTGGCCTCAAATATTCGCCGACTGGCGTAAAGTGTCAGCGCGGAATGTGGATATTGTATTCGTGACCGGGACCTTCGATTCTCCCAAAAAACGGACCCGAAGCGAATTCTTTGGAAGAATTGTTGGGCCGCGAAAATTTTCTCGAGTTTTCGGAGTCGTATGGTGGAGTGCTGCCAACAGCGTCTTAATTACAAATATCAATTGTACAATTGTCATGTGTACAGTAAGCAAAGCGCTTCGGCATATGTGATCCATGGAGGGAACATGAATCTCTCTGACATGCCACAAGTGACGCCCAGACAACTGAGAATTTTTATGCTCATGGAGTCACCAAACCATGCTAAATCTGTCCTTTACAGGGTGAGATACTACTTCAGTCAGTTCGTTTTGACACTTAACACGTTGACGACGAGCCATTTTTTTTCATGGCTTGCGCGTGGGACGGCACATTTTTCCTAGTTGAAAATTAGTAGTTTCGACAAAAGTGAATGGTTCTGATCAAAATGTGTCAAGAAATGCCTGAGGCGAGGATGAATCTTGAATCTTTGTAACAATTTACCTTTTACTCCCCACCGCAAAAAATCAGCCATAAACTAGCCCGCTATCTCCGCAATCTAAGGCTATATCATAGTAAAGGGAACGATTACCATGACAGACAGTAAACTGTCGCCTTTTCTCGCCAAATGTTTTCCCAACTGCCCTAGCACATGGGGGAGGCCTGGAGTGTGCGCTAGACGCACACATGTCTTGCCGTCGCCTGTAACACGTGCGCTAGATAGTTTTGCGTTAAGCACATGTGATATTCATATTCAGAGGGTCAGACAACCCCAACAGGCAAGTCTTCAGCGAAATTGCTGGTTAAGGATATTTTGGCGCTAGCTCATGTGGCGCAAGCTCCAGGCAGTTTCGTGATGAGCGAATGTGATATTCGTATTCAGGAGGTCGAGCTACCCCAGGAGACAAGTTTCAGCGAATTTGGTGATTTATGGTATTTTGGCGCCGGCGCCTGTGGCGCGGGCGCCACACAGCTTCGTGCCAAGCGGCTGTGATATTCGTTTCAAAGGGTCAATCTACCCCTAAAATCAAGTTTTCGACAAACTTGGTCACCTTGCACATCTTTATTATTAGAGCAATATACTGTCAGACAGCATTGTCTGACATCGTCCCACGAGACAGACTGGCTGTCCCACCATTGTCTGACATCATCGTCAACGTGTAACAAATTCCACAATCGCAACAAGGCGTTTGCGGAGGTGTTTGGATAGAAATCCTGTATCGCAGCTCCATCACAGCGCTACATTCCTGAACAGAGCCCGCGAATGGTTGGAATTTCAGGAGCAACCCTCACAGCCAGCCACTCGGGATGGGAGTGCAGTTTCTCACACCCCCTATCCCGAAAATGAGGGCGTATTTTTGTTCTGGACTGGTTACACATGACTTTGTCGAGCGCGGGACAGGCCAACTGTTGTCCCAAGGGAAATACATGAAAAGCGGGTATTAACCATGTTCAAAGAAATCGTCCCTTCTCCGGGGTAGAATGTAAGTCGCCGCGATTGCCGATGTTGTGAGGGGCGAAGGAGGCTCAGAGACTTATTGTTAGGTGGGAGGAAGAACTGTTGGCATTGGAATATTCAGCCGTCGTCGAGCATGGGAGAACTGCCTTGTGAGAGCGATGAAGAAGAGCAACCTGAAGGCACCAACCTTTTATAAGGAGCAGTTTAGTATATGCGCTGTTGGCCTGGTATAACAACTAAGGGTGAGGTTGCAGCCTGAGCAGCTTGTTCCAACAATGATGTCATCCAGAGTCGTCTACAATTGGTGAACAATCAATTGGCTGCGCTCCAAACCACGCCGGCGTCCTGCGAACTATGTTCGGGCATGACGACTGCAAGTATTCGTCATCTCTAAGACGCGCAGACATTGGTGGGGACCTTACTTGAACATGTAGGATTGATTATTCGTGAAATGCCAATCAAAATGAAGATACCTCACCAAAGCGGAGCCGCCATCAGGGACTATATCGGTGGTGCAGTGCGATTCACAGAAAAAGAAGGTGCATTTCAGATACCTCGCAATTTACGCAATTTTTTCAATGCCACTATGACGTATAGACGAGACTCACGCTACTTTCATCCTTACGGACAATTCGTGCCGTTAGCTCCTGATGACAGAACACAGCCTCGTCTGTTTGTAACACAACAACAAGTTTGTTTTATAGTGAGATGCTTATTCTTTTTTCTTTTCAGAAGATTTTGTCAACTTGCTTTCAAGCATTCTGACAGCAGGTGCAGGTGTAGGGTATGCACTCATACATCCATTTCTTACCGTCAGATACCGTCTTGTACCACTCATCGTTCCTGAATTTTTCTCAACGAACGGTCTCCTGTGATTCTGCTCGCTTGCTTGCCATCCCCTTTCAGTCTATTGATAGAGAGCTTCCGAGAAGAAATTGTATCACTGACCTTACAGATCTGCAGGTATTCGTTTGACGTTGACGCAAGTCTGAAGCACTCACTCGATAATCGCTCTTACTCAGTAGTCGTCTAGGAATCCTATATCTCTCACCCTATGATCGTTTTCTCGGCTAGTGAGCATCGACCTTGCAGAGTTCGGAAACTTTCCTTCTAACTATAAGACAATGTATCACTAATACTCTTAATGTAAATACGATTCTTTCAGATTGTCGGCTCTCTGAAGAGAAAGACGAGAGGGTCACTTATTTTTGTATCAAACTGCAGGACACCCTCGGAACGAGAAAGGCTTATCAAGTCAGTAGCAGTCAGAAACTGCTAGCAAATACTCCCTTTTGCTTATCACTTTACAAACAACTACCCCGTTGCTGATGCATCCTGTACTTTCTTTGTCGAAACGTTCTCTAAGATACTTATTTAAGGGAACTAGGTCAATATACTGAAGTAACGGTCAGAGGAAAGTGTGAGGAGGAGTTCAGCGTCGGCAACGACACGCGAACATTCTCCTGCAAAGAAAATTGTGATGATGACGCCCTCATAGGTTAGTTATTCCAGTTCCATGTCCAGTGATACAACTAATCCTTCACAAACAATGCAGTAAGGTAAACTAGGTTTGTACTGATCGTGATTTTTGTTCCGACTCTTGAGCTTCACTCCACATCTCCAAAACGTGAGAGCGTGGATGCCCACTTCATTCGAACACGGCGTAGAACCGACTAATCGCGGGGTGCCTCATGAGATCACTGTCATCTTGTCTCGTCATCTTGAAATCGCTACGAAAAAATCTGTTACGATATTCGAGAGAATGTCACGAGCTCCCTGTCACTGAACTTCGATTTCAAGAACCTCTCCCGCTGAGCTACATCATCATTCCTCATTGCATAAATGATTTCAAGGCTAAGCCCGCGTACAAAAATGATGAGTTATGCAGCTCCTGTTGTAGTAGCGGGGTAGGAAATGACTCCTTAATGTAGAAAAAAGCGCACAAAAAAATCATGGGAAGTGCTTCATGTAGGATCTCAGGCCGAGCTGAGGTGGTACGTTTAAAATGAACTCGTGATCGTTCGAATTTTCACATGTTGGTATCATCTCGACGGGGAGGAGGGGCATTCTCTTCCTTACAAGGGAAGGATGGTAGGTCGAAGTGGCCATTTGAAATGAAATGTATACCGGCTGAAAGGTCTTTGGACGGGAATTACGAAACCGTGTTCCATATCTGCTGCGGACCTCCCAGAAAGAAGTTACGGAGCTTTTTTGGGGGAGAATCACTACAAATTGGCGGCGTAAGGCTATCGAGATCGTGGCAGCATGGCCGAGTGGATACGTCGTAGGGCTCACGGATGCGTGGTCGAGGGTTTGGATCCTTGATGCGTGTGCTCTTTTGCATTTTTTCGAAAGTGGTCCCTGTGCACTTCAAAGCTTTTGCATAACACTTGTCCATGATAATGTCGTGATGTAATGATTCTGAACTGATGGAGCCATTGCGAACCATTCCATAGAGATCACTTCTGGCTGTTGTCTTCTTCTTCTTTGATTTGAAGAAGCATATACAACAAAAGTGCACTCCAAAGAAAGATTTTGCCTTCAAATGAATTTATTCTCCAAACGACATGACCGGAAAACGAATCCGAAGTTGTGCAGGAAGATGATTATAGTGGGGAAAATGCTTCCATATGAAGTGGCGTTGATGTGGCAATCATGCTGGAGATCGCGATGGGCAAGAGCTTCATTCACCAGTGGCATAATGTTGAATTATGTCTATCTCAAAGTGTTTTCGTATCTGCTGGAAGTTTTCGGCTCGTATGACAATCTTTTCAGCCGGAGGTGATCTCCATGAAATCGTTCGCAATGGCTCCATCAGTTCAGAATCATTACATCACGACATTATCAGGACAAGTGTTATGCAAAATAGCTTTGAAGTGCACAGGGACCACTTTCGAAAAAATGCAAAAGAGCACACGCATCAAGGATCCAAACCCTCGACCACGCATCCGTGAGCCCTACGACGTATCCACTCGGCCATGCTGCCACGATCTCGAGCCTTACGCCGCCAATTTGTAGTGATTCTCCCCCAAAAAAGCTCCGTAACTTCTTTCTGGGAGGTCCGCAGCAGATATGGAAGACGGTTTCGTAATTCCCGTCCGAAGACCTTTCAGCCGGTATACATTTCATTTCAAATGGCCACTTCGACCTACCATCCTTCCCTTGTTAGATGTGCCGACCCATCTAGGTAGCCTTTTCTCGAGTTGACACGTTTTAGGATGGTGGCTAGACGATCTTGCTCCAGCTTCACAAGCGTTCACAAGTTTTACCAGAGTGAGATTTGTAAACCGGAACCAGGGAAGCAATTATAATACAAAATGCCCCCTGTCGATAAACAGCGCCCGTTTTCCCGTACCACATCACTCTCGCTATCCGAAGTGGGGAGGGTTAGTAACGGAACAACCGCGCCGTCAGGCAAACATTGGAAATAACAAGGGGCGTGTGGTCCAGGTGGGCGCGGTGTCAACCACCTAACGAGCGGCAACGCTATCCTCTCGTATTTTTGAGCAGCGAAATTAGTACATCCTCCATCTTTGAATGTAGGGCTACGATATCCAAAGAGGACGTAGGGAAACAGGGTAAAGCATCCCGTCGCGGAAAATTGCGGGTGGCACGACCTTCCCCCCCCCCTCTGAAAGGGGTGTAAATATGATTCTCCCTCTTAGTGACTGAGTATTTGCAGGCATCTGCTCTGTTTAGCAGCTGTATACGTTAGGTGTTATGAGCATTTTACAAAGTACGTGTTTGAGTATCTAGGAGCATTCACCAAATCAAACAAAAGCAGTGAAAACTGAAGAAACAATTTAGTTCCTCAGAAATAGTGATCACAAAAACCTTACTATGACGCCGTCTAAACGAAACAACACGATCAAAGTTGTATGTCCAGGGCCTATGCGGAGTAGCTACAATTTTCACAAGCTTGCACGACGGCTTCTAGCCGGAAAATAGCGCGGAGAATTTCAAGGGGGATGCAAGTTTGACACCCTTCAATGGAAATATCTTCGTCGAGACATAATTTGAAACGAAGACCTCCACGCCTTCGGGAAAGAGAAAGTCTTCTCCTTCGAACGAGTTTGACATTCTTGCTGTGACTTAAATATGGCGAAAATTCGCAATCACGGAAATAATCCAGAGAGTTTTGGCGAACGCAAATTTTTCACCTTCCAAAGACCATATTCGTTCAGAAACAATCAAGGGAGACCTATACAGCGTTGAGGAGTGAAGTGGCCCCTTCCTTATGAGGGCAACAACTTCGCTGTAGCTTAATTGCAGCAAAAATTCGCCCGTCGCGGATTTCCATCTGAAAGTCAACTTCAGTTGCAGCATGAGGATCTCCCACCTACAAAACCTATGGAATGCGCCATGTACTCGCCTTCCTTTCCGAACGCGTTGCTCATTCTGCAACCTATGTCGCTGCTGTGTTGAATAGTGACCTCTGCAAATACGATCCTCCTCCTTCTGACGGGGGTCAAATATGTATGAACCCGTCGTCGCGGATTGTGCGATGTAAGCTTGACCCTGTTAGGAAGATCTCCGACCCCGATTTTGCATTTGAAGGATCATGAGCGGAATGTTTTCAGCTACTCATCGATTTTATATTTCGTATGAGAACAGCCTATGTAATGACTACATCACGGAAAAATTCTACCTCAGGATCTCACAACTACTGGTTCCAGTTGTAATGAGAAGAAGGATATACGAAGGTACCGTTGCAAGATGTATTATTTGAAAAAAAAATCGCAAAGGGCTACGCAATGTTCATTCAGTTCCCATGCAGTAGAACAATGACAGTGTTACTTGCACAGTGCCAAAAGAACTTCAAATTGTTTATTTTAAAAAAGTTTCTCTAGAAGACGAAAACAGAGTATGCCCTTTCTCATAAGATGTACTTCTTTCCTAACTTAGGGCTGGCGCACGTTGGGCAAAATTTTTTCAGTCGAATGGACGTGTTAGTAACCAACGCTCATACCACGCTACAGCGTAAGAATTAGTAGGTGGGTGAAGCCATAACGGCTGGCCTGCGACTCTCTAGAGGTGTTCCGCGTCCATAGCAAGCGAGAAGCATCGTCCATATTCGGGGAAGACCAAGTCAAACTTGACAAGACCAAAGAGAACTCCGAGAAGCTGTGAGGAGTAGAAGGGTCCCCACATGTGCCACACATTCCCAAAGCTGTTCCGTTCTCTCGATGACTTCCTCCGCTCACTGGAAAACTGGCGAGGTCCCCGATTCATATCGGAAGAGTTGAAGGGAGCATGTCAGGAAGTATTAGGTTCAAAGAAGATCGAGAGGTACTTGAGCATATTCGTCAACTTGTAGATTTTCGGTAGTAGGGGGCTCAACGATTTTGTTTCGGAGAAGAGTTGTTATCAGCTTCACGGGAGCGATAGAAATACACGTAAGTCAGCCACAATGTCGTCCCATCTTCAAAAAAAAGGGGCACGGCGGCGGGTAGGCTCCAACTAACCGCGGCATTAAGTTAACTCTCCATACCATGAAGCGGAACGAGGACCCGGTCAACAATAGGCTGAGGGAGCTTGCCCCTATCTCGCAGGAAGAGTTCGGCTTCATGCCCGAAAGGTCCATCACTGATGCCATCTTCATCGCCAGACAGATGATGGAGAGTCGAGGACAAGCGGCGACCCCGTACCTAGCTCTTCTGGGCTATGAGAGTGCATGTCACCGTCTGCTCAGCCTTACTCTGGAGACGCTCAGAGAACGTAACGCTTCGGAGCGCCTGGTCTTCATAGTGAAGGATATGTACGGTGGGGCTATAGCAGCAGTACGCGCTTCACAAAGGAAGTAAACATCACGGTTGGGGTACACCAAGGATCAGCCCTCAGCCCGTTCCTCTTCCTCCTGACTCTAGATGTCATGGCAAAAGAACTCATGGAGGGACCACTGAAAATTATCTTGACGCTGACGACATCAGCCCCCTGACCATAGCGGACAGCAGGAAAGAACTCCAGGACAAGGTGCAGCGGTGGCAGGATGTGCTCGCTGAGAATGGACTCCGGTTGAACGTGAAGAAGACCAAGTTCCTGAGCTCTGAATAGTGTACCGAACCCGTCGTATACCGTCACGGCGAGAGCATGCGGATAAAGGACGGGTGACTTCCAGTACCTGGGACTAACAGCTGAATGGGCAGCGTGGACCAAGGCAGTGGAAACACCGATCATTGCAAGCCTGGATGAAATGGGAGGGAGCCACTGGCGGTCCTGTGGCGACCGGCGTGCTCGAGAACGCTACAAGGGCAAGGGTAGTACCGGCCGCGGCAAAGGCCGTACAATGTTCTCGGCATTGAACTGACAGCCCAGTTCTGCAACGCAACCGATGAAAGGCGCTCACTAAGCTGAAAATGAGTGCTGAGATGGGCCTACGGTTGGACACGACTCTCGACAAAGTCAGAAACGAGGACGTCAGGGCGGTCACACAGACGGCTCCGATCCCTGAAGGCATGAGAGCAGCGATGGTATGGGCACGTGCTGAGAAGGCCTGAAGACCA